AAAATTACCTTGAGATTGAAAAATATGATTTGGTCAAGATATCCCACTATGCTGGAATCTGAAGACAAAATTTCCAAATTCAATACCAATATTATAGTTAGCATCAAGCTGAGATTTTGTGAAAAAGGATGCTGTATTAATGGGCTGCTTTTCAAGTACTACCTTTCGCTATTAATTTTGAAGAGTACTTAATAATAATAATAATAATAATAATAATAATAATAATAATAATAATAATAATAATAATAATAATAAAGTTTGAAGGGACCTTGGAAGTCATTTAGTCCAACCCCCTCCTTAGGCAGGAAACCCTATACCATTTCAGACAAATGGCTGTCCAGTCTCTTCTTAAAAACTTCCAGTGTTGGAGCATTCACAGCTTCTGGAGGCAGGTTGTTCCACTGGTTAATTGTTCTAACTGTCAGAAAATTTCTCCTTAGTTCTAGGTTGCTTCTCTCTTTGGTTAGTTTCCATCCATTGCTTCTTGTCCTGCCTTCAGGTGCTTTGGAGAATAGCTTGACTCCTTCTTCTTTGTGACAGCCCCTGAGATATTGGAACACTGTTATCATGTCACCACTCGTCCTTCTCTTCATTAAACTAGATATACCCAATTCCAGCAACTGTTCCTTATATGTTTTATCCTCCAGTCCCCTGATCATCTTTGTTGCTCTTGTCTGTACTCTTTCTAGAATCTCAGCATCTTTTTTACATCGTGGTGACCAAAACTGGATGCGATATTCCAAGTGTGGCCTTACCAAGGCATTGTAAAGTATTATTAACACTTCACGTGATCTTGATTCTATCCCTCTATTAATTCAGCCTAGCACTGTGTTGGCTTTTTTGGTAGCTGGAGCACACTGCTGGCTCATATTTAAGTGATTGTCCACTAGGACTCCAAGATCCCTCTCACAGTTGTTACTATTGAGCAAAGTACCACTTATACTATACCTGTGCATATGGTTTTTCTTGCCTAAATATAGAACCTTACTTTTTTCACCATTGAATTTCATTTTGTTAGATAACACCCAATGTTCAAGTCTGTCAAGATTCTTCTGTATCTTAAGCCTATCTTCTGGAGTGTTGGCTATTCCTGTCAGTTTGGTGCCATCTGCAAATTTGATGTTCCCCATCTATCCCCTCATCCAAATCATTAATGAAGATGTTGAAAAGCACTGGGCCCAGAACAGAGCCCTACACACTTCCCTCCATGTAGATGCAGTTCCATTGAGGACCACATGCTGAATACGGCCGGTCAGCCAGCTATGAATCTATCTTATCAAGTAGTAGGTTGTGGTCTACTTTATCAAATGCCTTACTGAAGTCCAAGTAAATTATATCCACAGACTCCTCTGGTCCACTAATTTTGTCACCTGGTCAAAGAATGCAATAAGATTTGTCTGGCTTGATCTGTTTTTGACAAAGTCATGTTGGCTTTTGGTAAAGACTTTTTTTTTGCCTCTAAGTGTTCGCTGATTCATTGCTTGATTATCTTTTCCAAGATCTTCCCAAATATTGAGGTCAGGCTGATAGGTCTGGATCCATTTTTTTTTCCTTTTTGAAGATGAGAACTACTTCAGCTCTTTTCCAGTCCTTTGGTAGTTCCCCCATGCTCCAGGATTTCAATTTATCAGAGAGTTCTTTATGGAGCCATGCTGGTTTCTTTTGAGAGCTGTTATTTTTCTCCTTCATTGGTATTGTGCTAGACTGGGCTTTTATAATCTCACTTTTCAAAATTTCCCAAGCTTCTTGAGTTGTTTTCCCCTTGAGGATTCTTATCCATGGAATCCTTCCCAAGCTCTCTCTAAGTTTGTTGAAATTACCTCTCTTAAAGTCCAAGACTCTAGTTTGACTGTGTTCAATTGCTTGTGCATAATGTTGAATTCCAATATTGCATGATCATTCTCCCCCCCCCCCCAAGGTTCCTGAGATGGGCTTTATTACAAATTCATTACATGCGGCTTTAAAACTTAATTTTTATGCAATTACATTTTTCTAGAACACAGTTTCTTGAATTCTTGGCACTGTTGAAATAAAACTCCCTGTTCAAAACAAGGACAAGGGAAATGCTTTGGCAACATATAATTTAAATTGAGCCATGGCAGCGCAGTGGTTAGAATGAAGTATTGCAGGCAGACTCACAGCCAGGAGTTCAATACTGACCAGCTCAAGCATTCCATCCTTCCAAGGTCAGTAAAATAAGGACCCAGATTGTTGGAGATAATGTGTTGACCCTGTAAACTACTTAGAAAGTGCTCTAAATCACTGTGAAGTGGTATATAAGTCTACTGCTTAGTGCTATTGCTAAATTGGAGTTCATAGCTTCTAATACAATGAATATAACTCTTCCCTTTGACCCTTAAGTCTTCTATTACGAATACTCTCCTAGTTGAATAAATGTTATAACACTGAAAGCTTCCAATTTGAAATAGATAGTTATTATACAGACGTCAGGCATATGACTGCCAAAATATACTGCTCATTATTCTTCTCCCACTGGAATCTTCTTCTTGAGTAGGGAGTGCATTGCATTGTCTATAGTCCATTGTTCATAGCTCTGCATGCATCCAGTTCTTTCTTTGTTGGAATACTTTTTTTAATTAGCTTACCTTGAAACATCTGCTAGGTACCTTCTCTAGAAGAGATATTAGATTGTTTTTTCTTTTCCCTTCACTGAGATTATTTTATTTCCCAGATCTTTCAAATTCTTTTTGATTTTCTTACCAAAAATTCTTATTGTTTGTATTTTTTAGCTTAGGTGGTATATAACTGATGATTTTATCCAGACTGTACAAAGCTTTGATAGGATGTTTCACTTCAACAATGCCTTAAGCAAAGATTTTTCAAAATTGCTTCTTGAAGCAATACAATCCCTTAGGTCTAAAGAGTGAAATGTCAATCAATTTTGAAATTGTAGTCCTATGATTATATTTTTTCATATCCTACTGGGGACATAAACAACACCACACAAATACACTTTCTGCTTCATTGGAAAAATTAGCAGTTATTCATTTATTTATTTAAATCTATTGGCTGACCAATTCCAATGGACTTTGGACAGCATACAAAACTAGAAAAAAAGTCAATGAACATAACTAAACAGTTATTTAAGATGTATTTCTGCATTGTTTTTACAAATATTGAGTCAGTAGATGGCACAGTACTGTATTTCAAAAATGCACCACAAGCAGAGTGTGTTAATTTAAACAGTAATTCTTTACATTTAAATTCTAATTAAATTTAGGATAGGGCATGTCAATGTGGGCTGAAAATTTCTCACTTGGTTTTTAAATCTGTTTAAAATATTCTTCCCCTGCCATAACTGGTCTTTTTAACATAAAGATAGGAAAGGAGGCCTCTTTGTTTAAAGCATTCTGCAGATACATTTATTATTCAGTTAGATTCTCCCTGGAGAATTTGAGATGAATAGGAATACATTATCAAACTTCATCAGGAAGGAAGAAAAGATATGCAAGGACAAGGTAATATCCTATCAGCTGTCATATTTCTTTCCAGTTCAAATGCAACCAATCAAAACACAGCCTGCTCATTCAAGTCTTTTCAGAAGGAAAGAAAAGTAATTTGTAAAAAGCCTGAATTAATGACAAAGAAGCTTGTTGGGTCATCTCCAGTGTTAACAGGAAGCTCCAGAAATCTGCATTTGTCAGTCACATGTCAACCCTGCTCTTTATTTTGCTTACCAACAACTTGTGACTGACAGGCCCTGAAGGGAAAATAGGAGCATAAATCTGGCTGTTACTGGGGTTCTTCAAGACAGAAGATTTTTTTTCTGCAGAAGTAGCTGTCAGAGTAACATACTTTCTGTTTATAATCCTTCCTCTTTGCCTAAGGGCAGTATCTTTCTTTCAAGTTGACATTGGCAGGTATCAGTGGACTTTTCAATGACTTGTATCTGCTAAATTGTATAGCTTGAATTTCAACCGACTGCCATTAAAGATCTATGCCTATATATTTTGCTCAGTCTGCATAACAGTTAAGCTGCAACATGCAAGCATATTGTTATGGATAGGATGTTCATTTGGGCATATGCAACTATTTATATTATTTTCTTTTAGAATGAGAAAAAAGTATACAACTACAACTATCAACAACTTATCATCTGGGTTTGGTTTCCCCCCCCCCAAAAAATGGATCCATGTTCCATTCATTACACAGATGTTGATCAAATCAATGTTTGATTAGTAATCTAAAATAACAGACAATGCTAGATTTTATCATGGTTCTTAATTAATGAATCTTCTCCATCTTACCTCAAAGATAAATTTTGAACTTCCAAAATTTGTCTTCTGCTTTTGCCAAAAGTTATCAGGCTTGATTATCAGGGCAACATGAATTTCTGCAGGAAAAGCCTCCTGAAGAGTCTTCAGGAGAGGTTTGATCAGATCCCACTTAGAGCCTCTCATATCAATGATGACCGTGAAACCACGTTTGCAGACATCTTCACTGTAGGGATTAAACATTGAATAAATTAATTCCAGAGCAGGTTTTAGAAATATGAAGTAGCAGTTAAATAGACATTTTATCTCTTCTGACCTGATTCCTATATTCACAGATTCCAGATCAATAACCATTGTTTGGTTCCTAAATATGCTCTATTGCAATATTCAAGCATTAAGTGGATAACTTGCGCATTTGCTCAATTGCTTGTGCATTAATTTACCTTTAGATTAACCACATGATATAATTCATTGTGATTCACTATACAAGAGAGATTAAGTACTAGTTTCCTCAATATCATGAAGTGAATTTCTAAGTGTAAATGAATTTGATACTATGCATCGAAAAGATTTAGCGGACCTTGAAACAATATACTTGACATGCAGTGGACCAATTTTCTAAGTCGAGTAGTTTTATTAGCTTAAAGATATCATCAGACTAATGACATACATTTGTGTAATGACATCATTAAGCTGATTATATGGTGGCATATTTTGCACTTCAAAAGACATTTGTAAATAACCCTCTCCCCTGTTTAGACTGTTAAAATAACATATCTCTGAATTATCTACAATTTGTAAAACATATACAGTCAATCTTTATT